TTTCTCTAAGGATCAGGAATTATGCTTTACCTCATTTCTATCCCTCACAGTGTCTGCCAGTATGAAGGCTCAATACACAATTTGATTGATTCTCTGGTATAGAGATATTGCTTAATAGTATTTTTTAAAATACTTCCTCTCTGAATCGATGTTTCTAACTCTATATCGCTCTCCCTTCCTCTCTGTAAAAAAATCAATAAATCAAAAAATATATTTAAAAATAAAATACTGTGCCAGTTAACTTGGGATTTTACCCAAGTGTTTAGGGATGTATAGTTGGATACGAAAATCTCAAGTAAAAGAAGGTAACAGCCCTGGCTGGTGTCTCAGTAGAGAATAATAGAGATGAATTGTAAATATATAAGTTCTTAAAATGTCATATAATAATAGAGGAGATAATGTCTACTTGGCACCTTAAAATTTCAGCCTGAGATTATTGTTAATGCCTTATGTATCATTTTAAGTATAATATTGTCTCAGGATTACTCAGAAGGAAGTTTTTTCTTATTAAATCACCTATATTATGAGCACACTTGGTTTCCCCTGAAGGTTTCCAATTAGTTATGCCTAGAAATAAAATTAGTTTGGAAGAATAGCCTAATACACCAGAATTCCATTTAAAATTTTTATATTTTTTACTTGGTATTTTGCTATGTAAAAATTTCAAAAGAACTTAAAGTATTTTTCACGTGTTGTTTTTAATTCTAAGATAAAAAAAAAATTTATATTTTCAGACCACCCAGTTCAGGTGTGAAATGGAGGAAATGAGTCATCTAGGAATAGGAGTTAATTTTTGCAACAAAAAATACCATATATGCTGTCATTTTAAATTTTTTATTGGAGACCTAGAAGTTAAATCTTTACAGTTATAATAGGAGGCTTCTGTAAAAATCTAATACTTCTGGCAAAAAAAATAGAAAATGTTTTAATCTTTTAAAATGCCTTTGTGCACTAGACCGGCGTATGAGACATTCGAGTGTGGTAATTAGCTGGTTGCACACACCCAGACATCTATTTTTGAAAACTAGTGAAAGGGGTTTCATGGCAGATGCCTGAATAATTCTGTGATTATGTCATGCCTAGGTTAATTTCAGAAATCACTGAAAGCAGGATGGGGATTAGAAAAGCAAGCAAAAAAGATCAAACTGTAGAAAAGTCATGTCCAGATATGTTTCTTAACGCTCAGATCAGAAACTGACTTTTTTACCCTTTCCTCTTTCTAAGCTGCCAAACTGGCTTTTCTGGAAGCAGGCTTGCTCCGGATGAGTGGCAGTTGGTGATGTTTCTGTTTGGGTAAATCTCCTTCGACTTTTTGGTTCCTTGCTCCTTTCCCTCACTCGTTACTCTTGCTTCTTTTTTAAATTTATCTCTTTGTCGTGTCCTTTTGGCTTTGCTTGGTTTCCTCTGGGCTCTGGGCTTGCCGTCTCCAGTATTCCCGCGGAACTCTTCCTGACTCAGTTGTCATGCTTTCCCATGACTGTCTAGTTCCCTGCAAGCTTTCCTACACAAAGTGTTCAGGAGGTGTTTGGAGGCGAGAAACAGCAAACTTTAGTTTTCAACTGCCCTGGGCCAAATGTTAACTAGCGTGACAAAGCATAACAAACACACATAAATGTCTGTTGGTAGTGTGCTTGCTAAGGATTCACAGGACGCAAAATGTGGGTGTCTCTCACACCCAACAGCGTGACTGTTGTTATAAAAACAAAACGTAAATGGAAAATAGTAAGTGTTGGTGAGGATGTGGAGAAATTGGAACCTTCATGCATTACTGATGGGCATACCAAATGGTACAGCTGCTATGGAAAACAGTTTGGTGGTCTCTCAAAAAGTCAAATAAAAAGTCAATTTCTTGTTATTACAAGTGATGTGATACATGTTTGTAAATAATATTGTTTCACCATTTTGTGATTACTTTCGTAGGATAGATTTCCAAAGTGAAATTGGGTAAAAGGACCTAAATGTTTTAAGGATATGTATACAAATCCAGTATTTCCAATATTAACACATCAATATTCGTTTAAATATAGAATCACTCTACTAGATTTCAAAACATATTACTACAACATGGCAAAAATAAAAATTTTCTGATATTGAATAAAAATTTTTAAAAAATCAATCTGTAGAACAAAGCAGATGCCTGGTATAAACAAAAGTATTGTTGCTTTTCAACATGGTTTTCTCCATTCTTTTTTATGACGTTTTTTCTTAAAGCAACTAGCAAAGTTTTGCTGTTTTAATCTTAGAATTTAAGAAGCTGTTAACCTAAGGAAATCCTAAAACCACTAATAGGAATTAAAATGGGATTAGGTATCAAACTTCGTCAGCTATTAGAAAGTCCTTGGTCTGTATATGCAGCAATTAGATTATATAATAAAGAATAGAAACCCCTGCCCAGCCAGCCTGGCTCAGTGGTTGAGTGTTGACCTATGAACCAAGAGATCACAGTTTGATTCCAGGTCAGGCAGGGTACATGCTTGGGTTGGGGGCCTGATTTTCTCATCTTTGATGTTTCTATCTCTGTCCCTCTCCCTTCCTCTCTGAAACCAATAAAAACATATATTTTTAAAAAGAATAGAAATCCCTATTACCATCCAAATGCTTGACATTTAGATGACTGTAACAAGCTTGACTTAAGTTTGTAGGTTTGCAATTAAGAGACCAGTCATTCATCTCTGCCAGCAGGTGGCAGTAGATATTGCAACTAGGCCTTGGAGTCCAAAATGTAGAACTTTTGCCTGTGATTTCAATTTTCAACCTAACTTTTAAAATTTAAATAATAACAATAATAAACTTTATTAAAATAGATTAATTTATTACCTCATTATCCTATCCCCTCTTTATTTCTGTCATCAGAATTTTAGGGTATTGAATAATCAGTAAACAATGAGTTCTATGCATTCATGGTAGTCATTAGAGAGAATTTTAACAAATTTTTATCACTTCTTTCTTTTCAATGTGTCTTCTCATTCTCTTCTTTTCCATGTCCACTGCCAACAATACAAATCCCCTCACATCAATTTTTAAAATAACTTTCTTCATGACCTCTTTGCTTCTGGGTTCCTTTTATTTCAACTAATTGTAAACATCACAGAAAGAATGATCTTCCTGGCATATCTTTTCTATATTTCCATTCTCCTTTCAAAAAGGCCAATGCTCAACCTCATATCTAATTGCCAAATCTCCACTTACGAGACAAATTCCAATGTGGGGTTCAAGGCTGTTCTCCATAGAACATCATTCGATACATAAAACATGCACAACATATAATTCTGTATGATTTACAATAGTGAAAAATAAACCAATTCATTCAAGAAACATTTTTGAGTGTTTACTGTGTGTCAGAAACTTGGGATGTTTTGGTGAACAGGATATAATCACAAGTTGGAAGCTCACGGGCTAGAAGGGGGACACTCACCTGTAAATAAATAAGGGAATAACCTGATTGGGCACGAGAGCTTAATCTGTGAGTATACTGAAGTTACAGATAATAGACTATCAAATCTACTGAGGGGGGAGGGGAGCCAATAGGGTCAGGGAGTATGTATATACCACATTTTGTTTATCCATTTATTTGTTGATGGATACTTGGGTTCTCACCTTTTAACCATGTGAGTAGTTCTGCTGTGAATATGTATGTACAAGTATTTGAGTACCTGTTTTCAACTCTTCACATACCTAGCAGTGAAATCGCTGGATCATATGGTAATTTTGTTTAACTTTTTAAAGAACTGCCAAACTGCTTTCCACAGGAACTCTACTAGCAATATACAGGGGTTCCAATTTCTTGACATCCTTGCCAACTTTTAAAAAAAATTATAGCCATCCCCATTGTGGTTTTGATTTACCATTCTCTAATGATTAAAGATGTTTATCTTTTCACATACTTATTAGCCATTTGTACATCTTCTTTGGAGAAATGCCTATTCAAGTCCCTTTGCTCGTTTTTAATTGGGTGATTTATCTTTTTGTTGTTCAGTTGTAAGAATTCTTTATGTTATATTCTAGAGAGTAGACCTTTATCAAATTCATAATTTGCAAATATTTTCTCCCATCCTATAGATTTTCTTTCACTCTCTTTAGTGTCATTTGATGCACTAATGTTTTAAATTCTTTTAAAGTCCAATTTATTCTTTTTGTTGTGTCATATCTAATTGCCAAATCCCAGGTAATGATTTGCCCATATGTTTTCTTCTAAGAGTTTCATGGTTTCCACTCTTATATTTAGATCTTGATCCATTTTGTGCCCATTTTTGCTTATGGTATGAGGTAAGGGTCCAATTTCATTCTTTTGCATATAGATGTCCAATTATCCCAGCACCATTTATTGAAGAAATTATTCTTTCCCTCATTGAATGGCCTTGGTACTCTTGTTGAAAATCAATTCATTATGTATATAAAGGCTTATTTCTGGACTCTTAATTATATTCCATTGGGTCTATATATTTATTCTTATACCATTACCACAGTTTTGATTACTATTATTTTGTAGTAAGTTTTTTTTAAAATTTAAATTCTTTATTGTTTAAAGTATTACATGAGTCTCCTTTTTCCCCCATTGACCTCTCCCACCCCCCAGCACATGCCCTTAACCCTCCTACTGTCTGTGTCCATTGGTTATGCTCATATGCATGCATACAAGTCCTTTGGCTGATCTCTTCCCCCTTTGCCCCCTGCCTTCCCTCATAGGTTGGACAGTCTGAGCGATGCTTTTATGTATGTCTCTGGTTCTATTTTTGTTCATCAGTTTATGTTGTTCATTAAATTCCACAAATGAGTGAAATCATGTGATATTTATCTTTCTCTGACTGGCTTATTTCGCTTAGCATAATGCTCTCCAGTTCCATCCATGCTGTTGCGAATGGTAAGAATTCCTTCTTTTTTACAGCAGCGTAGTATTCCTTGTACAGATGTACCACAGTTTTCTAATCCACCCATCTGCTGACGGGCACTGTAGTAAGTTTTTAAATCAGGAGTGGTTGTCCTCCAAATTTGTTCTTTTCCAAGATTGTTTGGCTATTTGGGGCCCCTTGATTGCCATATGCATTTGAGAATCAGAATTTCCATTTCTGGGGGAAAAAAAAAAAGAGAGGCTGTTAGAATTTTGGTATAGATTGCATTGATTCTGTAGATCACTTTGGGTAATATTGTCATCTTAACAACATTAAGTCTTCCAATCCACAAACATGAATGCCTTTTATTTATTTAAGTATTCTTTAATTTTTTCCAGCAATATTTTGTAGTTTTCAGTGTACAAGCCTTTCATTCCTTAAAGTTATTCTTTAGCTATTTTATTCTTTTGGACGATATTGTATCTGTACGTAGATTTTTTTTCATTTTTTCCCCTACCCTCAGCCCACCTCCCTCTCAACTCCTGTATGTAGATTTTTTAAAAATCCTCACCTGAGGATATGTTTTTATTGATTGATTGAGAGAGAGAAAGAGAGAAAGATCAATGTGAGAGAGAAACATCAAACCTGCAACCTAGGTATGTGCAACCTAGGTATGTGTCCTGACTGGGAATAGAACCTGCAACCTTTGGGTGTACAGGATGACACTCTAACCAATTGAGCCACCCAGCTAGGGATATGTAGGTTTTTAGAAGCCATACTGATCTTGGCCAGTATGGCTCTGTGGTTGAGCGTGGACCCATGCAACAAGAGGTCAAGGATTTGGATGTAAGAGCAGGAGGAACATCTCCTCAGGGGAAGAGAATCATTCTTTCTCAGATTGCAAGAAAAGAGGAAGATGAGTGAAGCCATAAAGAAATCCTGGGTGCCTGGCTGGTATGGCTCAGTTGGTTGAATGTCATCCCATGCACCAGGAGGTCGCTGGCTTGGTCCTCGGTCAGGGCACATTCCCCGGTTGTGGGCTTGATCCCCTTTCGGGGGCGTGCAGGAGGCAGTTGACTGATGTTTCTCTATCATTGATGTTCCTATCTCTGTCTTCTCCCTCTCCATTTCTCTCTCTAAAAATCAATAAAAAAAAAAAGCCATATTGAGGGGTCATAGGCAAAGCAGAGCAAACCAGGTAAACAAGGTCACAATGATGTGAAATACCCCTGTATTAAAGAAACCATATCTAGCTGGGAATGGCTGAATCATCAAAGTGGTGTGGTAAGGATAAGGTGAAAGAGTGAGCAAGAGGTGAATTTGGGTCCCTACATATGACGAGAAGTGATGGATAGCCAATCATGGATTCGGGACTCTCCTAGAAGTCTAGTTAATACCTGCTCTCTTTTTTGACCTCCTATACATCTTTTTGCCCTCTTAATCATAGCTGATGATCTCATTGAGACATTAAAAACCATCCAAAAGGAACTCCCTCATTTTCAAATCATTAATCCCATCTGCATGTGCACCCATGGACTCCTTTTGACCCTGGTTACCAGGGAGAAGGTGTTCTTTCTAGCAAAGGTCACGTTCTACTTGGCTACCAGGTACCCCTCCCATCTAGTCAATACTTCTCCGCCTCAGATAGCCCCCCATTTCCCTTAGTCACCACTGTTTCTCTTTCCATTGCTTCATTCCCATCATCTCCATGCAGTTACCCCCCCGCCTTAAAAACACTTCCTTAACCTCATGTTCCCCTCCAACAACCACCTCATTTCTCTGTTCTACGAAACAAAAGTTCTTAAAAGAGTTGTTTATACAGGTTTTTCTCTATTCCTCAACTCTTATTAATCTTTACAAAATTTACTTTTTTAATTGGTAAAACACATGGAAATAGAGAACCTGTATTTCTGAAGCTTAGCCATCAGGCTCCTCTCCCTGGGCAACAACTATTCTCAATTTCTTGCATAATTCTTTCATAGAAAGTCTATAAATTAAAATATAAATATAGCCCTAACCGGTTTGGCTCAGTGGATAGAGCGTCGGCCTGCGGACTAAGGGGTCCCGGGTTCGATTCTGGTCAAGGGCATGTACCTTGGTTGCGGGCACATTCCCAGTAGGGGGCGTGCAGGAGGCAGCTGATCGATGTTTCTAACTCTCTATCCCACTCCCTTCCTCTCTGTAAAAAATCAATAAAATATATTTAAAAAAAATATATATATATATAAGTATAGTATATATCTACAACACAAAGAGTGAACGCTAATGTAAGCTATGGACTTTAGTTAATAATAATGTACTAATACTGGTTCATCAAATGTAATAAAGGTACCACATCAATGGAAGATATTAATAATAGAGGAATAGGGAATATATGGGAACTCTGTATTATCTGCTCAATTTCTTGTAAAATCAAAACTGGTCTAAAAAATAGTCTATTAATTTAAAATAAAAAAGCTATCACACCCTACTCTTAGGTCAAAAAGAAAGTCAAAGCTAAGAAAATCAGACTATGTAAAAAGTACCAAGAATAAAAGCATTACATTAGTATATTAGTTTACACTTAAAGAAGAGCTTAGGGCAGGGGTGGGCAAAGTTTTTGACTCGAGGGCCACAATGGGTTCTTAAACTGGACCGGAGGGCCGGAATAAAAGCATGGATGGAGTGTTTGTGTGAACTAATATAAATTCAAAGTAAACATCATTACATAAAAGGGTACGATCTTTTTTTTTTTTTAGTTTTATTCATTTCAAATGGGCCGGATCCGGCCTGCGAACCGTAGTTTGCCCACGGCTGGCTTAGGGGAAATTTGGTATACATAAATATATCCTATATAATAAAAGGCTAATAGGCAAATTGACTGAACAGTGGAATGACCGGTTGCTGCGATGTGCACTGACCACCAAGGGGCAGACTCTCAATGCAGGAGCTGCCCCCTGCTGGTCAGTGCACTCCCACAGGGGAAGCGCCGCTCAGCCAGAATCCCTGAGCCGGGCTCACGGCTGGCGAGAGCAGTGGCGGTGGTGGGAGAGGCTCCGCTAAGGATGTCCGACTGCCAGCTTAGGCCCGCTCTCAGTCAGACATCCCCCGAGGGCTCCTGGACTGCGCAGGCCGGGCTGAGGGATCACCCCTGAATGCACGAATTTCGTGCACCGGGCCTCTAGTATAGTAATAAATAAGAATTAGAAAAAGAATAGTTTAAAGAAAGCAGAAGGAAAAAATTAGTAAATCCCAAAGGAGAAACTAAAGAATCAGAAAATAGAAAAATCCTGGAAATAATAAGTATGAATTCAAGAACTAGTTCTTTGAAAAACAAGACAAAACAAACAAAAAAAACATAGTAAAGGAATAAATTGCTAGTTAACAGAGGAAACTGGCTAGCTGAGGAAGGGTGTGTATGAGATTTACTTAAAGTAAAACTCACCCGGCTGGTGTGGCTCAGTGGTTGCACCAGGAGGTCAGGGTTCGATTCCCAGTCAGGGCACATGCCCAGATTGTGGGCTCGACCCCCAATGTGGGGTGTGCAGAAGGCAGCCAATCAATGATTCTCTCTCATCATTGATGTTTCTCCCTTCCTCTCTGAAATCAATAAAAATATATTTAAAATAAGTAATTTATTATTAAATATTCCAGACATACCAGAAGGCACATCTGTGAAACCACCACCAACCTAAAGAAGAAAACATTACCAAAGCATTTTAAGCCCCTGTGCACTTTTTGATTAAATCTCTCCAGTTCAGCGCTATCTTTAAATTATAGTGTTTACCATCCTGATGCATTTCTTTTATAATTTTATAACATATATGCCCCTAAAAAGTTATATTATTTTGCATGCTTTAAATTATACAGTACATATTCAACCTCTTTTACCCTGGTTTTTTTTTTTTTTTTTTTTTAGATTATCCACATTTGTAGATATGGCATTAGTTCATTTTTCCATTGATTTTTAGAGAGAGTGGAAGGAGAGGGATAGGGAGAGAGAGAAACATCGATGTAAGAAACATCCCTTCCGTTGCCTTCCTTAGGAGCTCCGATCAGGGATCCAACCTGAAACCCAGGTATGTGCCCTGACCTGGAATCGAACCTGCAACCTTTCTGTGCACAGGACCACGCTCACGTTCAACCAACCTAGCCACTCCAGCCCGGCCGTTATGCCATCTCTGGAATATTACTTCAATTAATTCTCGCAAAGTCTGTGGGTTAGGTAATACTCACATTTTGCTGATGAGAAAAAAAAAAAAAACACCCCAACCTCTTCGTTGTGAGACGTTATTCTTCACTGATTGCCGCGTTTTCCTGCCAGCCCTGGGTATCCAGAGTCGGAAGCATTCCCCTCGGGCGCCGTGGCGAGGTAACGCGAGACAACGACAGGATTTGGACCACGGGAGCCACCGTACACGCCTTCTCTCTCAGCCTTTCTCCGCCGCGCTGGAGAAGGCGGGGCCAGCGACTTCCGGCAGCACCGCGCTGCGGGATAGGCCAAGGTTTGCGGCGCTAGCACCTCGGACACCGGAAGTGCTGCAGTCTCTCCCTCTCCAGAGCCGCCGTCGCCGCCGAGGTTATAGGGCTGCCCCGGAAGTCCTCCGCGCGCCTCCCGTCCGCGGCAAACATGGCGGTGGACTCGGCGATGGAACTGCTATTTTTAGATACTTTTAAACACCCCAGCGCGGAGGTAAGACTTGGCGTCTTGATTCCGACTCTGCTTCTCGACTGTGGGACGCTTACAAAAAACGCTTAGGCATGCCTCGACTTTCCGTCCTGCCGGAGGCCTTAAATCCCGCACGTACACACCCCCTCCCCCCAGCTGGGTGTGGGCACCACGTCTGCGGGAGGGCATCGCTGGCCAGGACATTCCTCTGCGTTATCTTAGGCTCCTGCCTCTTTGGTTGAGTTGGCTGTTCTGCTTGCTTTGCTCCTTTGATCCCTCTCCCCCCGTCAACGCTGGGCCTTGGGAATACCTTGGTTCTCAGGTTCAGCTCAGGCGGTGGTTGGGAGGGTCTCAGACTGCCCGCGTTTGACAGCTGTTCCGGAGACCGAGCAGGTCACGATGGCTTCGTGATCCCTAAATCCCTCCTCCCAGGTCCCTTTTCTAACGGGACTTGGGCTGCCCGGGTGTGACGCTCGTTCGGTTTAGGCTTCGCCCATTAGGACATGACATATGTGCACGGATCGGCTTTTGCGTGGAGGCTGCCCGCGAGGAGGGGAAATTCAGATAATTGTAGTCCAGCTAGTGTAGTCGTTTTGAGAGGCGAAGGTGGGGGATTGTGGCGTAATCTTTTCGAAATGAACTGAACATTAAGAACGAACATGACTCACTTATAAAATAGACTTAATAATAGTGCCTGCCACATAAAGCTTAATCATATACCAAAAATGGTTTAGATATTAAAGAGGTTGACACGTACAAGGTACATAGCAAATGCTCGGTAAAACTTAGCCAGTGTTAATATTACCCCTGTGACTAGTGCTATTATAATCATTGCTTTATTATTATTATTATTACTGTTAACTGTTCACGTTCTCTATTTCTCAGTATGATCATCTGAGGTGGGTGGACATTAAATCCATAAACAACTGTAAATGTACTTTTGCGCCACCTGTGCAGTGGTTCTCAACCTGTGGGTCGCGACCCCTTTGGCGGTCGAACGACCCTTTCACAGGGGTCGCCTAAGACCATCCTGCATATCAGGTATTTACATTACGATTCATAACAGTAGCAACATTACAGTTATGAAGTAGCAACAAAAATAATTTTATGGTTGGGTCACAACATGAGGAACTGTATTTAAAGGGCCAGAAGTTTGAGAACCATTGTCTAGACCAGTGATGACGAACCTTTTGAGCTTGGCGTGTCAGCATTTTGAAAAACCCTAACTTAACTCTGGTGCCGTGTCACATAGAGAAATTTTTTGATATTTGCAACCATAGTAAAACAAAGATTTATATTTTTGATATTTATTTTATATATTTAAATGCCATTTAACAAAGAAAAATCAACCAAAAAAATGAGTTCGCGTGTCATAGGTTCGCCATCACTGGGTTAGGGCAACATAGAAGAGCAGGAGAGTGTCAGTTCTTGGCCTGTTTTGGAAAAAGTATGGGAGCAGGGAGATCAACGTCATGATTTCTTCAAGACTGACTTAGAAACCAGAAGGGAACTTGGCATAGCACCGCTGTGTTGTGTACACACAACTGTGGGACATTATTAAACATCTAACATGGCGGGGGGGCGGGGGGGGAATGAACATTAAGTCCATAGAGAAATTTTAAAAAACCTCGGAACCCACATTTTCTTTCAGTGTAAACATAATCATTTTAGAGAACTGTTCTTTCTTTGAAGATAGTGATGATAGTGGGTAGTGGTTGTATCTTCATGCGTTACTTGACAAAATAAAAACTCAACAACGTTGGCTTTCTAATTATGTTAACAAGTGGTTTATGGGTCTGTAAAAAAAGTTTGGAAACTTTAGCATGTTTTACTAACAATGAATTCATTTGTGGTCGCTAATTTCATATGGGTCAGTTAGCTCTGTTCAGTGATTATACTTTTCTGACTAATTACAGTTAGGCTTTAGAAAACTCATGATGGAGGCAGTAGAGTTGGATCAGAACAAACCTATTATGTGTACAGAAGTAGAGAACAGTTAAAAAGGAAAGAAACAAGCATGATGAATTGGTGTAGGAAAATTGGCGCTCACCACTTACATATTTAAGAAGCTCATGTTTCTTTGTTTTTAGACAAACATTGAGGACCAGGAGAGGATAGGAACAGTTGTGTGGTAGTAAATACCTTCTTCTGGCAATGATTGGGAAAGGCTTAGTAGAGATCATATTTGATCTGAGTCTTGAAGAAGTAGATTGGTGGGGGGAGATATGGAATATTGAGATGTTTGTTCTTAAGATGTTTATAACCTAAGTATTGGAGATTAGGTCCACAACATTATAACTCAAGTTACAATCTTACGATTGCATGAAGAGACAGAGTGGGAATTCCTTGGGGTTTATCACCTTTATTTCCAAAATGCCCATCCCTTGCTGACATATTAGGACCTTAATATTTTTTAGCTCCCTTTGTTGGTTCAAATAAAGGCTATGTGATTTTAGAGGTGGGAGAGATCACTCTTCATTTGAGATTATCAGGGAAGAGTTCACCAAGGCAGTCGGCGTATGAACTTGGTCTTGGGTGAAACATCTGTTCCACAATTGTAGACAGGAGGGCATTCTGGAGTAGTCACTCTTCCATAGTGTATGCGGAAAGGAGCAGTACACAGTGACACCCGAATGACAGTTCTAAGCCAGATCATAGAAGTTGTTGAATGCTCAGCAAAGGAGTGTAAACTTTATTTTGTAGGAAATGGGTAGCTTTTAAGCAGGTAAATTATATGATTAGTAAACATATTAGGTAGGTTAATCTATCAGTATATCTAAATGGTCAGAA